GCATGTAATGATAGGAGAAGGGGCAATGGCTTTAAACTGAAAGAGGGTAGACTTAGATTAGATATAAGGAAGAAATTCTTCACTCTGAGGGTAGTGAGGCACTGGAACAGGTTGCCCAGAGAAGCTGTGGATGTCCCATCCCTGGAAGTGTTCAAGGCCAGGTTGGATGGGTCTTTGAGCAACCCAGTCTAGTGGAAGGTGTCCCTGCCCATGGCAGGGGGGTTGGACTAGATGATCTTTAAGGTCCCTTCCAACCCAAACCGTTCTATGATTCTATGACTATGAAAAGAACTTTATAGGTGGATATCTCCTGTAATTTGCAGGTAGCAGTATCACTGGAGCTGAGAGTGCATGGTAGGAGATTGATCACCCACCATTTCTGACATGGAAAATAAGTATTCAGTGGTTAAGAAAAAAATAAGGCATGCTTATGTAGGCCAGTATTTATGTGAGTTCTGTTACAAAAATAGTCTGAGAAATTGGGTGAATATTTTTTTAATTAGTCTGTGTGATAATCCATGCCACTGTGGTAACCTTGCTACCAGAGTGGAGCTAGTTTAAAGCTTGGGCATGTAGTCCACCCCATGGATTACAAGATGATCGTACTGTAGGTGAGAATCAGGCCATGAAGCAGAGGTGAAAGGGGATCAAGGTGGTGGAGGGAGACTAAGAAGCTTTCAGTGACTCCAAGGGCTGCAGCTCTGAAAAGGGGAAATGACTCCTCTCCCTGTATATACATCTCCTCTCCCTCCAGCCCCTTTGGTCTGGAGGAAATTGCCTGTCTGCAGAGATTTAAGTGGCATAGGATGAAGAACAGCGTGTGTTCGTCAAAATGGCTCCTCTGGTAAGAGCAAGGAGGCCTAAAGCTCAAAGCTGCAGACAGCAGGCAATGTGGCGAATGGAAAGAGAGGCAAGAAGGAAAGTTGATGTGGTCTCCCGGCTGGGCTGTGACAGGATAACTTCTTTATTTCCTGCAAGATTCTGAAGTGCTACATCTACTAATGCCACCATATCAAACACAATGGTATATTAATTAAACTGATAGTATTTAGTGTATAAAGATTATTGCTTTATAATCATTACTTACAACAGTCTTAAGACTTCCAGAAAGAACACATGAGAAAAAAAAAAAAAAAAAAAAAGAAGAAAAAAAACCGAAGGCTTTAGGGTTTTCCTTTGTTTTAATCATAAGATGCTTCAGGATTCTAATTCAAGAATCTTGATCCAGGAATCTGATGGAAATTTAGGCTAAAATCCTGTCCTTACGAATACTGATGAAGGCATTACTATTGACTGACAAGTCCAAAACTTGTAACACACAGTGGCTGTGAACTTAGATCCCTGTTACAGCAGTTCCCAAAATGTGATCTGTGAACTACTGATACTTCCCAGAGCTTTTGCTGACGGCTTATAGAGAGAGCTGGCTGGTCTCATCGTGTTGGCTCTTCTCTCTGTTTTCCAGCTGCTAAAGTGCATTAACAGAAGCTAAAAATATAAAAAAAACAATTTCCTAAAATGTCCTTGATGTGTAAGTGACTGTTGGAGCATGCAGTTGTGGTGGGTAGAGGAGGCAGTCTGCTGAAAAGGCAACTGAGATGGTGACGAATGTCTCAGTAGACATGGGAATGTTCTCCACAGCATGAAGAAAAAGCTGAGAACTCTTGCCCAAGAGAATAAAAATTCCCTCCTAATATATTTAGAGAAATTATTCCAGTGATGTTTCTTGAACTGAAACAGCCCAGCATGCTTAGAATTTAATGCATACATCTAGAATTTAATATAGTTCAAGATCTTGTTTAGCTTAAGAGGGAGAATATTTAAAAACTAGAACTTCCAAGGTTAATGTTGCTTCTGCTGCAGGCACTTTTGGTTACATGGGGCATTTTCCATAGCTTCTCAAAGGGCTAGTCACATCAGCCTCTCCTGGTCAAAAATTGGTTTAGTTGGTTTAATACAGATAAACAAAAGCGTTGAACCACAAGATCTAGTCAGCCTTTCTGGAGGGTCAGAAGGCATACAACTCAAGACAGATATTGTAGGAGTAGTCAGTGAAGAGTAATTTCATTCTGCTTTTGTTTCATCATTCTTTTTGGACACTTAAGAAGAATGATGCTAAATGGATCTTCACTGTTGCTGTTCTTTTTGCTCCCTGCTGAGAATAAATGTGGATAGACTAGAAGACTTCATTACTCATTTAATGCCTCACCCTGAAATTAGTCTGTGGTATTATTATCCTTTTCAATTCCTAATTGCTCTGCTGTCCTGGAACAAAATATGGTAAAAGCTAGAATATGCTGGCAATACTTCAGATTTATGAGAACACTGAAAGGTGATCATGCTTGTATAGCAGCTGAGAGAGCTTTATAATTTCCATTGAAATTCTGGCTTAGTATCTTAATGCATTACTACTCCGAGTCCATTCAGGAGAGACAGAAAAACTAAACCACAGAAATCTGTCTTCAGACATTCACAGCTGTATGAGGTCAGCAAAATCTCATGCTTAAAATTCTTACAGAAGAAAGAAAAAGAATCAGGAAGAGTTGCACACAAAAATTGGAAGATTTCATCCATATTCAAATCCCAAAGCAGCTCAGTTTCCTGTGGTTTCAGACTTTGTTGAGAGTGTTTTGCTTATTGCTTCAAGAACAATAGCAGAAGAAGAGCCCAGTCCCTTTTCTCCTGGAAAACCATACAAAAAAAATTCCCATTTTGCACCGAACTAAGAAGTAGTGAAACACCGTGGAGCTGATTGTGAAGCTGGGAGCTAATAACTGATTTTCAGCACAGTAGATACAGAGTAAAATTTCATAGCATTAACTAGGTATACCCTTGTTTGATATGTCTATAAAAAGGATATAGCCTGTTCTGATGTATTGAGAGACCCAATATGCTTTCTTCAGGAAAGGGAGGAATGAAGACCATGAACATTTTAATTCAGTCATTCAGTTACTTAATTTGTGACAATCAAGATATATCACTTCCAGAATGACATAGCAGTACTTGAGCAGAGCACAGTCTTCCCAGAAGTAAATGCAGAATAGCTATTCAATGTCTAGTTGTTTCTTCTCTAAGCTCAAAAAATGAAAGGGCAGATCCCTCAGTTTTGCTAATTGCTGTGTTTGTATTCTAAATTACTCCAAAAACAAGCAGAAAAACCCTGTTTCAAAGTTGCCTTTATTGTTTTCAACAACAAAATTACTCATATCCAAAATGTGTCTTTTCCTCAGCCTCCACAACCCGAAATACAGAGGCAGTCATCATGTAATCAGATATAATTGCTCTTGTTTTTAACAGCAACAGCATGAGCACCTCATGGTGAGCCAACAAACTCTACCAAAGGGGTGAAAGAGAATGTTGTAACTGTGTTATTAATT